CGTCCTCCCGGAACCTGAATCAGCACTTTATCCAGCATATCCACACGGTATGTGATACCTGTCCATTCTCGTGCTTATCAGTTTGACTGTCCCTGTATCTCAGGGCTTGCGCTCATGTAATTCTTATCTACTTCATAAAGGCCCCAACGTGCAATAATTGTAAACTGAGATTCCTGATATTCTTTGGACATAAATCCATAGGTGTATCATACATTTACACTTTGTCACCTGATCAAAATTTAAAAGAATGAGGAGGCCACCAGAGGTGGACATCCAGCTAAAAGGAAGATGGATTGTAAGAAAAATAGCTGAGTCTAGGCTTGGGGGGTGGGGGGAATGTATAAGAAACGTATGAAATACCTTATGATAACAAATAACAAGGAAGTTATTGGTATTATCAAGGATTTTCTCAATAGGAAATAGGAGTTAAAGAATTTTGAACTTCCCCAAGCTGGGATATTTTTAGTTTTAATACGGAGCCCTGATGGCACTGCGGTTCAGGACTTAGCTGCTGAACGGAGCCCTGGTGGCACGGTGGTTAGTACTTAGCTGCTAACCGACAGGCTGACAGAAACTCAGATGCACTTGACAATTCAAACCCACCAGGGTCGTCTAAGGAGAAAGATGCACTAGTAGACGTCTGTAAAGATGATTTCCTTGAAAACCTTACAAGCCAGGTCTGTGCTGCCCTATAGGGCCACTGTGGGTGGGAATCAATTTCCAAGCAATGCTATCTGTGTTTGTTTTGTGTGGAGTGTGCCAGAAGTAGGTTTTTAAAAAAAAAAAAATTCTAAGGCTAACAATTCCAGTACATTGAGAAATTAAATATGGTTAAGTCCATTACTTTCAAAATGAAAATTCAACTCAGTCATTTTCTGAGAAAGAATCAAACAGCTATCCTTTTCCCAATCTATACCAGTTGTAGTCGATTGACTCTGATTGATGACCAGCGCATGTGCAGAAGTGTGCACCACAAGGTGTGCAACAGCTGGGGTTTTGTTTGTTTTTTTGCCAATCGAATACCAGGCCTGTCTTTGGGGAGCCACTGGGTGGATGCAAACCCCAAGCTTTCAGTTACCAGCTATGTTAGCTGTTTATGCCACCCACGACATCTACAAAAGCTATACTACTTACTAGGTAAAGCCACATAATAGATAAAGGAAACAGAACTTCATAACAATATTCCAAATTTTTAAATAACCAAAAAGGATAGTTGTAGAATGTCACCGTTTTATAACCCCCAATTTATTCATGGGTGTCGGCTTCAGATTCACCACCATGGAGTCACAGTGTCCAACTCCTTGTGACCCTGAAGGACAGAGTCAACATGCTCTGGGGGTTTCACAGCCTGTAAATCCTGATGTGGGTGGAAAACCTCCTCTGTCTCCCACAGAGTAGCTGGGGGTTTTGAAATGCTGACCTTGCGCAAAACTACTAGGCAACCAGGTTCCATATTAATGTACTGAGGCACTACCGATGGATGTTGACATCACTAAGCGAGAATATGCAGACCAGAAATACATCGTTCTGTCAAGTCAATCCAACTTAAAGCTGATGAAGCTTCTAGAAGTAGTTTCCATCAACAGAACCCAGAGGACTATTCTGAAGTAGCCACAAGTCTGTAACCCGTATGAGCTACACGGAGGGAAATCTGGAAAGTCATAGCGCCCAATCACAATGCATGACTTCATTTGGCTATTGAGTCAACAAATAATTTAATGGTGAAAATATGTTAATGTTTATAAACAATTAAGTAAGGGGTGAGCCCAATGAGTCCATTTTAACATTTTTCCTTTGTTATAAAATACAAAGTCAAGTAAAACATAATTTTGACCTGAGAAGTAATTAGTGTATGGTAGGTATGAAGTGTGTTCCATAGAAACATAGTTTTATTTTTCATATCGCCTATTGAGGCATTTTATTAGTTATGATAATTTATGTGTTTAATCTTTTTCATTAAAATGCCCAGAGGCAGTGGAATTGGAACAGCTAAGAAGGCAGGAATAAATACAATATTATGCACAAATACAAAAGCATTAAAAAGCAACTTTACTTTTTGGATCTGAAACTAAGTAGGTCAAACACTTTACGAAAACTACAAAAGCTTTCCTCTCCTCTTTGATCACTGACGCATAATATATACCAATTATGATTTCCAGGGGCTATAACTAATGTGTATGAAAGTGGGAATGAATTTTAGACTTCAGAATAACAACTTCCACTTAAGGGCAATTTATTCTAGAGCCTTGGTTCTCAACCTTCCTAATGTTGCAACCCTTTATACAGTTCCTCATGTTGTGGTGACCCCCCCAACCATAAAATTGTTTTTGTTGCTTCTTCGTAACTGTAATTTTCTTACTGTTATGAACCAGGTGACCCCTGTGAAAGGGTCGTTGGATCTCAAAAGGGGTCATGACCCACAGGTTGAGAACCGCTGTTCGAGAGTGTCTATTGCCTTCTTAGAAGGAATGTCCTATTTTCGTTCATTTGTGAGAAATTAGTTTCATGCTTTCACAGATCCCATGACTGAATTTTTAGGGTAGTAATAGGACTTTGAACTTGTGGCATCATTTTCATTTTTAATAACTTATTTAATTTGAACGATAAAGAGATTCCATTAGATGCCTCCCCTTGCTTTATGGATCAAGATACCGTGAGTTCTACCAATGTGTCAGACATCAGGCAGAAAAGATATTTGGTACACATGAGCAGAGTCTTCCAAGAAGAATTAGAATTGTCCTGTTGAGAGGGCTGGGGAGGGAGAGGAAAGACGGGATCATTAGGATGTAGAAATATGAAAGAATGTGAGCTGTCCTGCCCTGGGTGACTAGCATGTGGGCAATCAAGGCAGAAACCCGGAAGAGAGGAAAGCAGAGGTAATTCAGAGTGGTCGCTAAGGGGCATGTGCTCTCAGCTAAGTATGGTCATCATCTCGAATGCCCCTGCAGGACCGAAAGCAAAGAGAGGGATGACTACATTTCTCCCTTACAATTATTAATGCAAAATCAAAATATCGATTCATCGTCAGGTGTCTCTATGTTGTACACATTTATTGTCCATGTGATACATCACTAGCTATTGCTGTCCTCACAGATTCCCAAAGATTTCAAAGGGGGCGCTTGAAGTGGACACACTCGTTTACAGCTTTGCAGTGGTTTGAGGAAAACGCCCTCCGACAAGCCAACACCGCTGCCCTGGCCACTACCAGATAGCCACCATGTCCCTTCACATGGGACTTGGTCCACAAGAAATAGGAAGAATCTCTTCCCTTGGTTTGGATTTGGGCCAAAAAACACACCCCAATTCATTTCAGACCCTCTCTTGGTTCAGCAGGGCTGCTCAGTGCACTCCCCCCTGCCTCGGAGAAATGCACACAGATGATTTAGTATTTGAAATTCATGAGCAAGTACATACTCAACTTAGTCTGAAAAACTACTACTATTAGTGTGTGTGAGTCCGGGTAGACTAGAGAAACAAATCCATAGAAACTCATATGTATATAAGAGAGAGTTTTAGATAAAGGGGAATTGTACATTAAGAAAGTATCCCAACCCAGTCCAGTCCAAGCCCATAAGGCTGATATTAGCCCATATATCCGATACCAATCTATAAAGTCCTCTTCAGACTCACAAAATACAAGCAATGAAGCCAAATGCAGGACGATCACAGAGCAGGGGGTGAGAAGTCTTGTGAATCCAGAGGCATTGTAAGCATGTCAGCGCCGACAGGGGTCTCTATGTGACTTCACCAGCTTCAGGGGTCTGGTTGCATCAGGATAGGTGCAGGTGGCTTCTCCAGCTCAGGGCACTAGCACAGTTCCATGTGTCTTGTCAGCTGCAAAGTCTCCCAGGGAGTGAGCAGAGAGAGGGATAGAGTCTCCCACCTCCCAGAAGGAATACAGGATTTCCCAGAATTCTCAGGAGAAGGCCACGCCCACACAGAGGCCTCATTGGCTATGACCCGATTGACAGACTAGACTCCACCCCTTCACTCTTAATTCTCAAATTGACAAAGGATTATATAACTACCACATAGGGATTAGAGAACATCTGGAATTTCCTCAGTAGCTTAAATTACCCATCAGTTTACATAACACTATCTACCTAGATTGCTAATAGGAGGATATTTAACTCAAGGAATACCTACACACAGTAGTTCTCTAACCCTATTAGGGGTTCTTCAAAGCCAAAGCTATTTTCAAAACAATGTTGCCTTACTTGGTTATACAGTTCTCCTATCACGGAAATCCCACAAGTGCAAGGCTTTATAAAGCAGACATGTATTCCGTCAAATGTACGATGCTGGACGCCTGAACTCAGAGTGCCAAGTCCAGGAGAAGGGGTTCTCTCTCCATCTCTCCGTGTCTGGAGGTTCCCAGGTGGTTCCTATGACAGGAATCCCTGTTCCAGGGGCTGTGCTCCGCTCCTGGCTCTTCTTTCTTGGAGATGGTAGGTCCTGCTGTGTGTTTAATCTCCTTCTGATGTCACAAAAGAGTGTGGCCCACTGTCAATTGTATCCTACTCTCCTGCCTCATTAACATCAGAGATGTTAGGCATTTACACCATGTAGGATAGTCACTTCAGATAGAGTGGAGGAAAATTTCAGATTACTGAGGCTCATGGCCCAGCCAAGTTGAAGCATATTTTGGAGGAACATAATTCAATCCACATAAAATACAAACATGTGATTTGTCCTTTTTACAGTGTTGATATTTGCATTCCTGGTGCAAAACCAACAGCTGGTAAAATGACTGGTGCTTCAGATTAAACAACACCCCAAAATTCTGTGACAGCAAACTGTCTCGGTGGTCATTGTATTCTTCACCGTCGTCTGCTTGCAACTTAAAAAAATCCTGTTTCACTTAGAAATGCCCTCCATTGCTCAGTTAAAAATAGCAGACTACACTTCTCCCCCTAACTCCTTGGTAGTCTGTCAGTGGGAGGCTCCTGTCACCATCCTTTCTTCTCCTCTCGCCCCACAAAGCCCGTAAAAGCCCCAACATGCGTGAGTGCATCTCTATCCACGTTGGCCAGGCCGGTGTCCAGATCAGCAACGTCTGTTGGGAGCTCTACTGTCTGGAACACGGCATCCAGCCCTATGGCCAGATGCCCAGTGACAAGACCATTGGGGGAGGGGGATGACTTCTTCAACACCTTCTTCAGTGAGACGGGCTCTGGCAAGCATGTGCCCAGGGCAGTGTTTGTAGACCTGGAGCCCACAGTCATTGATGAAGTTCGCACTGGCACCTACCGCCAGCTCTTCTACCCTGAGCAGCTCATCACGTGCAAGGAGGATGCTGCCAACAATTATGCCCATGGGCACTACACCATCAGCAAGGAGATCATCGACCTCGTCCTGGACAGAATCCATAAGCTGGCTGACCAGTGCACAGGTCTCCAGGGCTTCTCGGTTTTCCACAGCTTCGGTGGGGGCACTGGTTCCGGGTTCACATCCCTGCTGATGGAACGCCTCTCGGTTGATTATGGCAAGAAGCCCAAGCTGGAGTTCTCTATCTACCCTGCCCCCCAGGTGTCCACAGCTGTA